ATTTACACTACAGAGAAATTTCACATGAAAATTATGCATAAGGATGCTTCGCTAATGCTGTGTGAAGTAGGGAAGACTGGAAACAACATAAATGTACATTAGTAGGTGACTGGTTAGCTCAGGTATCTACCAGTAATACAGAACTTCATAGCCGTAAGGAAAGAATGAAATGGATATTGAGCTTTTGATGTAGAATGATCTAAAAAACATTGGTAAGGGACTGCAAATTATGTTATTTACAGGAAATATTCTCCAGCTGTGTAAAAGGGAAAAAGAATTTAAATTCCCATTTGTACTTGATGACACATTGAAAAATTATGGAAAGATAAATGAAAAACCGTTAGTGTGGTAGCGCCCTTTAGAGGGTGAATGTCTGGGAATGAGCCATCTTTCTTTTCATTGTTGATCTCTGTCTTTTGAACTCATACCATGGAAATATTTTCCTATTTTAATTTTCTTAAAAGTACCCTGATGTTTTAGTGATTCTAGATTTCCTGTAGAGTCTCATGTTGCCATTAGTATTTAGTTCACCTTGTAAGTGAAAGTTTCTGAAGCAAATATGTACATACCCCTACCTGTACTCTTTTTACACTTTTGTTGTTGGTATGACAGTTTCCTATTTTATGTTTGACTCACAACATAAAGAAGGTTAAGAGCCCATCCCTTGTTAAATTTGTATGTGGGATGTAGAAAAGTAACACAGGTGAAGAATTCTGGAAGGGTGAAAACCACGTTCCCATTGCTTCCAGTGTTATCGCAGTATGGTATTCTTTTAAAAGAGGCGTCACTTTAATATGTATGTCAGAAACATGTGGTGACTATTTATATGTGTATAATAGTTTACACACTTGTGTGTACTTTTTAAAACTTAGAAATAACCGAAGATGACAGTGATGTTTTAAAATTTAAAGCTGTGCTTATTTGTTGCTGGTTTATGAACTGCAGTGGTAACCACATTCTGTATTTTTTGGTTCTGACATTGCCCTCTTCTTCTTTATTGAATTACTTATATTTAATTACACTTCTTGAGATTAAAATAAGTACATGCTGAAAATAAATAAATAAAGCAAGCAAGCAAGTCAGCTTGTGAAAAAGCTCAAGTTTGTTATGGGATAAAACTTTTCTATATCTATTAAAGCAGCCAGAGATTAACCTCAAAGTCCCTCTGTACATTATATATGGGAGGTGACTGTCACACACCTGAACTCTGCCTTTTCTCTGTGCTCTCAGTTAATCAGTCCTCATGCTAGAATATAAACTGAGGCAGAACAAATGTCCTTTTCAGTGATTCCCACTAAATTTCATTTGGTTTTATTTCCAACTGTATTTAATAATTGAAAATTTCTTGTGGTTAGGAATAGAATTTGAGATTTTGAACTTTTAAAGCTTTAAAAATGAAACGTGAAATTAGAGTGTATTTTTCTAATGGCTTTCTGTTAGTTCGGTGTTGCTTGTTTTAGAGGGGATGACTTTAAATTGAAGTGTGTATCCACTACAGTTGGAATGTCTTTCTCAACCCCTTTAAAAAGCCGTTCATTTAGCTATGGAGACAAAATACAGAGCAGTGGAAAAGGCTAATAAGCATAGAACATGTGAGCCTGCACTGTTTCCTAACTGGAGTTTGCTTAAAACGTGCCTGGGCACTGCCTGTGAACTGTTTGCGCACGTGTGCGTACAGAGGGGCAGGGTCTGCTCATTTCTGTGCCCATTGTGAGGCTGTCCTGCACCTTTGTGCTGTTTCTGTAACAGGGTGAAGGGCCCTGAATGGAGGCCTTGTGTCCCACTTGATTTGAAATCCTGGCTGTTAATCTCAGGGAACCATAGGGCACCCAGCGGGAAGTCTCTGTGACAAGTGAAAACCTAGGATCTGCTCAAAACCATGGTTTGTGGGGGAGGGCAGTGAGGGTGGTAATAATCCCTCAGCCCTTGCTTTTGTCCCCCACAAACCTAATTGTTACCCTCTGCTGGCAACCAGATGGAAGAGCTGCCTGTTCAAGTGTCCTTGGCTTGCATGTGATTACTCCCACCTCCTGGTATTGTGGTTACCAAATAAAACCCGTGTAACTGTGATTGAATTCTCATAGGAAAATACAGTCCTGGCTGGGTGTTTTACATGTCTATTAGTTAAATATCTGATTCTCTCTCTCTCTCTCTCTTTCTCTCTCTCTCTCTCTCTCTTTTCTTTGATGGACATTTCTTTAAAAGTAATAAGGATTGCATGTGAAAATGCTGAATTGTTGGCATGCTTTTTATTTCAGAGTCTGCTTAAAGGCAGTTCACACCAACACTGAGCTTGCGTTGGCTAGTTAAAGCTAGTTTGTGCAGCTTTTATACTTTGTAGTACCAGCCTCTGTGCAGAGTTTCTTGGCATCAGAAAAGTCATGCAATTTAAGTCTATACACTGTGAGAGAAGGGTGGGGCAGCAGAGGCTTTTTTAATAGGGTTTCTCTTATAAACCTTAATTTTCCAAGTTATATTTAGGAATTTAGTAGGAGAAGGAGAAGTTGTATATGGAGTTTTTTTAGTGCCACACTGATTGAACTGACAAGGGAAGGAGAGAAAATTTTATTTTATTTCTCTTTCTTTTTGGGGGTGAGGGGAATTCCAGTTAGAAACTGGTTTTTCAACCTTGTGCCAGTTGAGACTTGCTGTAATAAATCCTTAGCTTTGTGGCCTTCTGTTTCACTTCAGGTGCAGATGATAAGTAGAATGTTTAGTATCTGAGCCAACGTCAAGAAGTAGCTAGGGAGCTGGTGTACAGGAAGTGCGGTGTGGCATCACATTATATACTGCTCCTCCAGCACAGTGCTGAGAGTATGCATCCTGCAAAAATATTCTACAGGATGCCAGAAAGCCCATGTAAACAATATGTTTCTGGTCCCTCTGCAGGTTTTTTGGGGTTTGCTTTGTTCCCCATTGTTGATTTATTTTTTATTGTGGTTTTGTGAAAACCATGCCACATGAGCATGTGGACTTCTGTGTATGAGTGGTTATTGGTTTTGTAGAAACCCCAGGATACCCTGACTTAATAATAATTGATGCTCCTGGGCATGGTGGCATATGCCTGTAATCCCAGCAGCTGGGGAGGCTGAGGCAGGAGGATCGTGAGTTCAAAGCCAGTCTTGGCAACTTTGTGAGTCCCTAAGCAACTCAGCAAGACCCTGTCTCTAAATAAAATATAAAAAATTCCTGGGGATGTGACTCAGTGGTTAAGTGCCTCTGGGTTCAATCCCCAGTATCACCCCCACCCCTATGATGGTCTTTTGTGGGTAATTGAAGGAGCACATTAAGTGTCAGTTGATAATAAAATTTTCATAATTAATTATTATTATTATTATTTTTACCTTTTTCTTTGGAATCGCTGTGAGGGCTCCTCTGACCTTAAGGGTCCGCAGAAAGAGAGAGAGAGAGCGAGAGCATGCGCTGACCCTTTTATTGGGAAAAGCTATTTAAATGAGGCAAGGGGTCAGGTTTCAGGGGGCTGAGTGTCTTCATGATGTCCACTGTCAGCAGGTTGACTGACACCTGGGAGCCGGTTGAGTGACACCTGGGTAGGCAGACCCAAGGGCACAGTAAGAGAAGGGGACACACATAAGGCACTTCCATGGAAGATTCTATTCTAAACAGGGCAAGGGGTTATATTACAAAGGAACAGGTGAGCGTAGCTTCACCCATGGGGCTGTGGCAAGACACACCCATGCACAAGACACCGACTCTCGCACCCAAGAAGGGTGCCACATTTCTGCGACTGAGCGCCTCAGCACCCAGCCTGGGAGTGTAACTCTTGTCATGTGTAAGGTTGGCCTCCCACATATTCCCCCTTTCTTAATATACAAAAAGAATGTAACTGGGAAATTTTATCTTTCAGTCGCTTGACTCTTGGTCCAAGGTCATCACAATCTGCTATTGAAACACAAAATTAGTAGAAAACATATCATCTTTATAACACAATCAACACAATAAACTTGGATTATTATTACTTTGCCAAACACTTATCAGAAGATTTTTAATCTTTTCCTAATTTTATTGGAACATATTGTTTTGGCCATAGTAACTGACATTTTCATTGCCATGGCATTTAGGCCTCTCCGTAAACCACAGAGCAAGGGGCCCACTCACATTATTTATTTGTCTTTCCATAAACCACAGAGCAAAGGGCTCACTCACATTATTTATTACATTGTCTTCTAGAACATCATTACTTAGTTCTCATCCTTCCATCAGCACTTATCTGAACATGAAGGATCTTGGAAGTAATTTAAGTCAAACATTAAGTAAATCAGAGTTAAGAAAAAAAATGATAAATACCCTATAGCCTGTAAAAATACAACTTATTGTATCTTTAGTTATTGTCAGCTAATATTTCAGAGCTACAATATGCTTAAGTTAATATTAAGGCTTTAAAACAGGTGTATGTCAATTAACCAGACCTAGGCAAACTGCTGGTCTCATAATCCCTAAAGTGACTACTTTAAATATTATTCCTTGTTTATTCAATTGCAGCCTTTGTGGCTATGTCTTAAAACTTACAATGTATAGATTTACTTAATGTTTGACATAATTAATTAATTTTTTAAGGTAATATTAAAGGCAGTTTGACCAAAATCAAAATTAAATAATACAACTCAACTCCCGAATTAAGCAATAGTGTGGTCTTGTTCTGCAAGAGTTTGGCTGCAGTTGACTCTTCCTCCTCCTCTTTTACTGACTGGTCACCCTCCTGTAAAACTCAAATGCAATGCTCAGTTTATAAAGCTTAATGAAAAAATCAACTAATTTTATATATGTATTTTGTTCTGCTATTGATTCACTGTTTCTTTATTTTTTGCTTTCAACAAAGTGCTAAAGAAATCACAGGTATAATGTATTTACATATTAGCGAAAATGTAATATTACTTGATACTGTGAAAAATTTTTGCTTCATTTTGATTACTGAAGAAATATTTTTGTATTTGTATTTGTTTATGAATATGAAATATTTTGTATTTGTATTTGTTTAGGACATGTCTCAGGAAGGCTATGGAACTAGATCTCAACCTCCTCTGGCCCCAGGAAAGCCGAATCATGAAGACTTGAATTTAATACAGCAAGAAAGACCATCAAGTTTACCAGTAAGACCTTAATTTGCTGATTTGGAAATGTAATGAGTTAAAGATTTTTTAAAAGAACTATTATTTTTGTACTTCATATTATCACATGGAACAGAAGTTTCCAGGTTTCAGATGTATTTTGTGATTTATTAATTTTTTTGTAGGGCTTAATTCTTAGGAGCACTATAGTTCTGGATGAGTTTATTCCACTTGTAGGAATGGACATCTTTTGGGTAGGTTTTATTTGGCTGGTTGATGTGTGTCGAGGCAGGTATTTCTGTGGTTCAACTGAGTTTTGTTGTTGTTGTTGTTGTTGTTTAGCTTGTTTTTTGGTAGAGATACAGAGTAGGGGTCTGTGTACGATGGAAACTTAAATTCCCACTGTGCAAAGTATATAAATGGTAGATAAACATCTGATACTAATTTGAATTATTCTGGGACTTTACATTTGTATGTAAATGTCACATCACCCAAAAGAAAGTAATTTAGTTAAAAATTAGACAAATCAGCTTGTAAAGCATTTTCATCTGCAACTGGTAAATGGTGATTGAGTTGTATATTAGTAAGAGTAGTGGATACAACGTATCATAGTGATGCCTGAAAATAATTCATTTTTACTTTATTTGCTTTTTAATAGAGAACCTAATTTAAATGAGGTTTTCTTTATTAACTAAAATAAGTCTGTACAAATAAATATTTTGCATTTATTTTCTTGTTAAAGTATTGTGACCTGAAGAATCATTGTTACTACTTAATTTCTGCTAAGGTTTGTTTAAGATGGGAGTTCATGATAGTTATTATTTTAATTTTGAATTTCAACTGTCTTGGCACTAAATAAAACTCGTCATATTCTTTCCAAATATCTGAGAACAGGCATTTGTAATGCAGATGTGTTAGTGTGACGTGTAGCGTGCATTAGGCACCCATTTTATGTTATACACATAGCCTTAGAAGAAGGTAAGTGAGGGCTGCACGAGGTGCACGTCTGGGCATCCGCTGTACATGGTTTTGAAATCATAATCTTTATATAGATTTTTATTTCTTTGGTGGGAGGGGATAAAATTTATTATGGTCTTGTTTTGAAAGTTGGAGTATTGTCTAGTTACTTGGTTTTTTGAAGGAATGAAAAAGGTAATGGAATCTGTTTTATACTAGAGGCTTTGCAAAGCAGATAATTATAAGTTGGTAAGAATGTAGAGAGTGTGTGAAACACATGCACACTGTTCGTAAATTCAGCATTTGCTGAGTATTTGGAAATTGGCTTGTGGTTTTATGAAATTTAAATTGATTCATGGGAAGCAGGTGGACAGTGAATTTCACTTTTTTCCTCACTTGTTGTTTACTGTTATTGGCACCTAAGGTTGTAGGATTGTCATTGCTGGTGATTGGTACTGTGACACAGGTTAGAAAAAAATTTTTTTAAAAATATTTTTTAGTTGTTGATGACCTTTATTTTATTTATTTGTATGTGGTGCTGAGAATTGAACCCAGTTTGTCATGCATGCTAGGCAAGCGCGCGTCCGCTGAGCCAATCCCAGCCCCCAGGTTGGAAAATTTGTCATAAGTTGGTAGCAATTTTCTACATATTCTTAAGCATGGTGTACAGCCTGTACTACTGTTTATTTCCATTCAAGAACTTCAGTGTCTCTCCCTGGTGTACATACAGTTCTTGTCACAGCTCAGTTTGCAATGAATGGGTGACATCCACTAACTCTACAACGTAGCTGGGGTTGGAACCAGGTCCTCTGCTCCAGTGAAATGTACTTAAGAGGCTGGCTCAGGGACAGATGCTTTATAAATTAATTACTTGAAAAGAAGATGAAAGTATTTGGAGAAGTAAAATAATATATTCATCAAAAATTGAATTTTTTCTGTATTTCTATTCATTGTCTGCATTATATGATGACTGTCTTCACAGTGATCACCTGCCTCTCAGGGGTACGTGTAGGTGCAGATTTTGTTATGAAGTCCTTACAATAAGAAATACCAATTAGGGTGTTATTCTTTTTCTCATTTTCTTTTATTTTCTAACTCAGTTAACCAGGAGGCTGACTCAAAAGCACTTTAAATTACATTTCAGTGACTTTTTTTTTTTTTTTTTAAGAGACCAAGGTTCCCAGGATTTATGGCTAGTACATAGAAGCCAGTTACTGCATAGAGAACAAGCTTTAGATTAGCCAGTGAATCTAAAGCCCAGGTCTGCTGGGATTAACATTGGCTTTATTTAGATGAGCTTTAGTGCATCATTTTTCTTCACTAGGGTTTTACGTGTGCAAGAAATTTCTATATGGGGTTTACATATCTATTTTTGTTTACATGTATGCTTTTTGTTTATGAACTATACATAATTTAAGATAATTATGGCTTCCGGGAGCCATTCATTGGTGTTCACTTATGGCTCTAATATGTATTTTCACAGTGTTACTTTTACTAAATACTCCATTCTCTAGCTTGGCCCCAATTGATTCCACAGGGTCTGGAAGCTGTTGTAATCTTGGCTGGATTGGCCATTGGATCCTCAGTAGAGCTACTCTTAAAGCTGTACTTTCTTTTCAAGTGCCAGTCACATACATTTTGTCATTTTACTTAAACACAACACATGCTATTTGTACCTCTGGTTTTGTAACTTGGATTTAACTAAGTTAGAAGCCTTAACCTTTTAAAAAATATAGAATAGTGATTCTAATATGTAATTTTGTGTCCATTATATATGAGACTTTTAACAAATGTTTCCCAAATTGTTATTTCATATTTTTTTTGCTTAACATTGAAATAGTTTTTGTAATATTTCTCTATGCAGTCATATTTTTTTCCTCCAGCATGTTTGTTACATGGTTGTCAACTTTTCATAAGAAATCAGGATGTTCCCAATATCCTTACAATAGATCTATAATTTGATCTCTCAGTTCTTCTTACCATTCTTGAAGTTGTGTGCTTTGTATATCCTTAAGTTCCTGTGATCTTCAGTAGCTAATGGAGTTGTGTTTTCCAGTTGACTTAGCTGGATTCTCATACTGTCCACAAAAAGCAAAGAACTGATAAATTAATATGCATTCTCTTGTCTTGGGCCATGACCAGTACTGTTTGCTTTTTGCTTAACAGACTCAGACCTAATCTCAGAACAAATATCCCTTGAATTGCCCACTTACTTCAGTACCTTCTCAACATAGAGCCTTTCCCTGCTGAGCAAGATAGGTTAGTCTGTATTCCTTAGTATTTCCATTATTAATGAATCTTAGCATATAGGACATAATATGAAAATTAGCTTGAAGAGCTGCCTTACATTAGGGAATTATCACTTAAATTTGAGCACAATTTGTGGTTTTTCTTTACCTCTAATTTTATAGGAAATGAAGCCAAAATTTAAGCAAAATACACAGTGGAAGTTCTAAAAGATGCTGTAACTTTTTTACTCCTTTATTTTTTAAAATATTTTTTTTTTTAGTTGAGAGACTTTTATTTTATTGTTTTTTAAAATTTAATTATATGTGGGGCTGAGCATCGAACCCAGTGCCTCACACATGCCAGACAAGTGTGTTACCGCTGAGCCCCAGCCCCAGCCCCTTACTCCTTTATTTTATAAACATTGAATATATCTCCCAAGTATGATTTAGTACACTTTGTTTTGTTAAATCTTCATCTCTTGTGACATTTATTAGTCATCTTTTTACTACTTACTTGGCTCCTTGGTTTAAACTGGGATTCTTTCTTGGTATTAATTGTGTTATATTTAGTAAATATTTTCTTAATGTATATAAAATTATTTTGGAATAAATTCTTCCCCTTGTTTCAGAATTATCTTTTAATAGCTTAGGAATCTTTTTCATGGTGTTAAATTGACACGAGGAAAGCCCCTGCCCTCTCCATGCTAATGACACCAGAATATGGGTGTGATAGCAGCACCGGCAAGAGGGTACCATTTTTTTTCTTAATATTTATTTTTTTAGTTATAGAACACAATACTCTTATTTATTTTTATGTGGTGCTGAGGATCGAACTCAGGGCCCTCGCACGTGCTAGGTGAGCGCTCTACCAGTGAGCCACAGTCCCAGCCTCAAGAGAGTACCATTCTTAAAACAATTTTGGTTTTATCAAATGGCCCTTACTTTAACCTTGGTAACCTTAAGTTTGAAAACAAGAGGTGAATACTTTGGATAATTAAGCTTAAAAAAAAAAAAAAAGCAAAAGCCATTCTTTTCTTAGTGATATGTTTTTTATTTGTAAAAAAATAATTGACAGAAACAACCATAATTTCAACAATTATAGTACAGGTAGATAAGTTCTTAATAGAATACTTATAAACATGTTTAAAAGGAAGTAAAAAATGAAGGTTTTATTTTCTTTCATATTCAGTAAAACAGTGCTTCAGGGATGAAAGAGTTGTTAATATTCCCCAGTTTAGAAATAACTAATTTGTTTTATCTTGCAGAGAGCTGGCACTGGTTTGCGTCTCATGGGTGGTGGTAACTCTGTTCACCCGGGTCATGTTGGTATGGCTGTGTGCTCTGCTACGACTTGTGTGCTGATTGTAAAGCCTGGCTGTACTGGAAGGCCCATCAGGTCTTTCAAAGCCTCTTCCCTGTCCTTTCGTCCCTATATGGGAATACCTAAGGAGGTTGACATGAAAAGAGGGGTCTTCCCGAGTTAAGTGAAAACCTAAGTGGGAAAAAGTGCTCATGACACTTTTGTGTAGTTTGTCATTGGAAGGAAATACTGGGCTTCAGATAGAACAAATGTTTTTTGCCCTTTGTGAATGGAAGGGGGTGGTAAATACTGGTAATTCTTTGAAACGGAGATGTTAAACAGAATATTGGAAGCCTGAAAGAGAATGATTAGAAAACTGTTATTACCAAGAATTATCTTCAGGGAGTTAGCCATTAGCAGTAAAGAACACAGTTTTTGCCTTTAATCAAAGAGGAGTATTCCTATTGGGGTTTTATTTGTTTCTTTGTTTTATTCTGTAATGTTACTGGTGAAAGGGAAGATATGAACATTGATGGTATGTTAATAGAAATATTTGT